GTTTAAACCATATTACTGGAAAATTCAGAACCACAAATAATACCAAATTAAACAAATGCAGTCGAAAAATTAATACATGCGACAAATAAAATCTGAACAAACTGGCTTCGGAGCACAGCGATGAAGCCGATGAGCATGACGATGACGAAGCTGATGATGATGATGATGATGATGATGTTGATGTTATGTTTGTTTCCTTGGTGCAACGACACGTCCAGCCCACTATATATGTTTGATTACCGCTTTGATATTGTAAACTCGCAAAGCTAGAAACTTTACGGTGTTTATTAACGAAGCATTTTAACTATATGTGTCGTCTTCTTTTTTCAAACTATGGTATATACTCGGATTGACGTAGGATTGCGAACGGTTACTAGGTGTAAATCCTTTTATGATATACCAAACACTAGGAATCGCAATCATGTAAACCGCTATCTTGTAAGCTCAGCCTATTCCATAATATGAAAAGCCATTGCTTGAAATTCATTCTGCAACATCATCGTACGGTGTGATGTCGAATTTACTTCTGTCTTCGTGAATGCTAATTGTGGAGCTTCCTTCCAAATTCAGTTATCCGTGACCCCACATCGTTTTATCCCTAAAACTTTACGTATAATTGTCAGCTCCTTACATTCTGTGACATGAGTTGGCTATTATGTAATGGTTTCTGGTAACTAGGTTAGATAAATTATTTACACTTATGTATTTAAAAAGGTGTAGAACGTGGATTATTCTTGATCCTTAAACATATATTTGAAACCAATTTATTCTTTCGCTTATTTTGTTCCATTTCATTTCAAATGCTATTTCATTTCGATAATCCAGTTTTTTCCTTAAGGCGCATTTTATTTTGTCCACAAATGCAGTGTTGGAATTTGCAATTTCCTCGCTCCAACATAGTAAGCAATCTATAAATCTCATGTTTTTATGTCCGTCCTATACCATTGCTTCAGATTTCACTAGTGTGATGTGGGTGTCAGATGAGAGTGATGCGAATGGATCAACCTAGCAAGCCAGAAAATTATGGAGTGCGACTCAACAGATTTGATTACCGGACCCGAATAGACCGATATTCGTGCGTGGGATTCACCGTTTGTTTAACTAAAGCATTAGGAACCTCATCGAGTTAGAAGGGTAGCTAATTATGCACTTGAGCGCGCAAATCAAATCAAGGAGTAGAGCTTGCCAAACGTGTAATTTTCGCGGAACTAACTTTGTTCATTAAACGCTTGTCCATGAAGGACTGAGTCTTCAGCATGGTGTCAGGGAAGACAAGACGGAACCACACCAGTGAGCTGCTCCAATGCTAACTATCAGATGCCTGGCCCAGTGAAAATGGATGAACGGAATTTGTCGAATAATTGAAGTCCATGGAGGAGCAGAGTGTGAAATGGATACCTGCACCACGGTACGTTTGGTGAGCAATCGATGGCGTAGCAATTAACCTCATCGTTTCGGATTCGCAGACAGGAATCACTCGCGCCGAGTGCTGGTATATTGCAATACGGCAAAAACCAAAGACCCCAAAAATTTGAACACCTTAACTTAAAAACTCAATGAAACTTTGCAACGCCAAACCAACTAGACCAACCGGTGATTTTCTTTGCGCGCAATAGAAGCCCAGAAGAATCCCGATGACGCGTACCTCACTGTGTTGAAGATCTCGGTCCGATCCTGAAGTTTCTATAAACGCATTGGTAGACAGTCTCCTACGCGAAAGGACCGCTCTAGAAATAAATGAGAAACTATGACAAAGAGACTTTCTCGACAACGTAAATTAATCACTCCAACATGTGCATCGATATCTGCAACATTTAGTTCTTTACCACCTATCAATACCACCAAGTGAAGCTGCTACTACTGATGCAGTTGTGTGCCGTTTCCCGAATACAACGCATTGAAGGCTATCAACATGAGACAGGATATACCAGATTTTGAGTCGCGCGACATCCTGAGCTTCCGCAATATCTGTCGTAAGGTCGGACATGCGCCAGATTTTGGGGAAGGAATCCCTTTCCCTCATCTCCTGCCAACTAACAATGTGGGTGCAGTCTTTCGTGACAAGTCCACCCGCAGATATAGTAACATTAAATAGACGACTTGTCTCGGAGGGTACGGCAAAACTAGTTTGCGCAAGTCTTCTGACCCGAAGGCAAAGCCTTACGATTTCAAGTTAGACACGGCCAGTTACTGTCCACATTCCTAACCTGTCCCGGATGTGCACATTCGCATGTGCAATGATTTTACACAGATCACATCCAGATAGCTCAGCAACAATCGAAATTATTAAACCCGAAGAGTCAGAAGCCTCACATCGCCGTACGCGTTTTGTGCTCGTTGAAGTAGAAGCTACACAGTTAACGCCTATTCTTGGCGTTTCTATCGATCCCCTCTTTTGATTTTTGTTGTTTGTAATCATGAATCGTTTCGATGCATGGCCTGCCGGGAGTAAACCCATAGTGTTGGGACCAGTATACCGTCTGTTTAGTCTG